CTGACCTCTCGCCGACGTATCGCCGATTCCAGGGCGATGTCTCCCCTCTCCTCCAGAGCCGGTCCCTGCTAAACTTGAGTCGGGCCTGTCCCTCTACAGGGGGAACATTCAAAAATAGTCAACAATAATATGGGGACGATTTGTTAGGATTATGTTTGAATATTTTTGGATATTTTGGGGGGTATTTTATTATTTTTTCCTATAACATCCGCCTGTATGGGGACACGCCCGACCTAAGCCTATCTCTGACCTCTCGCCGACGTATCGCCGATTCCAGGGCGACGTCCCCCCCTCTCCCCCCGAGCCGGTCCCTGCGAAACGTTGCCCCTCAAGCGGGGGAGGCGTGATCTCTGCCCCCGCCGGTGGCCCATCGGCCTCGAGCTTCGGCACCCCTCTCGAGAGATCGTCGACGCGATGGGCTCCTCCAGAGGAGGAAGATCACAGCAGCTCCATCAGTCGTGGCGATGAGAGAAGAGGCGGATTGGAGCGAAGAGGTTTGAAGGGGCGGCAGGGGAGGAGGGGGGTCGGCATGGCGGGCGGGCGGTCGGACCAGACTCGTAGACGTTGTTGTTGCTGCTGTTGTTGTGATTGTTGTTGTGATTGTGGTTGTGGTTATGGTTGTGGTTGTTGTTGTGGTTATGGTGGTTATTGTTGTTTGTGTTGCTGTTGTTGCTGTTGTTTTGGTTGTGGTTGTGGTTGTGGTTGTGGTTGTTGTTGTGATTGTTGTTCTGGTTATTGTTGTTTGTGCTGCTGTTGTTGTTGTTGTTGTTGTTGTTGTTTCTGTTGTTGTCGTCGTCGTCGTTGTTGTTTTTTGTTGTTATGGTAGTTGTTGTTGTAGTGGTTGTTGTTGTAGTTGTAGTTGTTGTTGTCGTTGTCGTTGTCGTTGTTATGGTTGTGGTTGTGGTTGTTGTTGTTGTTGTTGTTGTTGGTGTTGTTGTTGTTGTTGTTGTTGCTGCTGTTGTTGTTGTTGTTGTTTTTGTTAATGTTTTTGTTGTTTTTGTTGTTGTTATAGTAGTTGTTGAATGCTAATCACTGAGCAGTTTTTTATATTAATTTTGGGCGCCGGCTACATCGTTGAAAGCAAACACAACAATGACAATTACGAGGCGCCCGCTACATGTTCATTGAAAATGAGGCTCGGTTTGGGGGACCGCCAAAACCGCCCCCCAACAACAACAACGCTCCCGCTCGAGACTTCCTCCTTTTTTACTCAGGGCTGGTGTTTTTGCTCGCCGTCGAAAGCCGCCGTCCTAACAAAACCAGCGCTCCCGCTCGAGACTTCCTCCCGTTTTACCTTGGACTGGTGCGTCAGTCTTTCTCTCATCGGCGCCGCCCCCAGCAAAAACAACGCTCCCGCTCGAGACTTCCTCACTTTTTTACTCAAGGCGGTGCTCCTCCTCGCCGCCGAAAACCGCCGCCCCGACAAAACCAGCGCTCCCGCCCGAGATCTCCTTCTGTTTTACGCTGGTCTGGCGCCCAACTCTCTTTTGAATTGGCGCCGCTCCCAGCAAGAACAACGCTCTCGCTCGAGATTTCCTCTCTTTTGCCTCGGGACGTTGCCGTTCCCTGCCGCCGACAACCCCCGTCCCGACAAAACCACGGTTCCCGCTCGATGCGTCCTCCCTTCTTTCTCAAGGCGGTGTTCCTCCTCGCCGCCGAAAGCCGCCGCCCCGACAAAACCAGCGCTCCCGCCCGAGACTTCCTTCCGTTTTACGCTGGACTGGCGCCCAACTCTCTTTTGAATTGGCGCCGCTCCCAGCAAGAACAACGCTCCCGCTCGAGATTTCCTTTCTTTTTCCTCGGGACGGTGCTGTTCCTCGCCGCCGACAGCCCCCGTCTGGACAAAACCACGGTTCCCGCTCGATGCTTCCCCCTTTCTTACTCAAGGCGGTGCTCCTCCTCGCCGCCGAAAGCCGCCGTCCCAACAAAACCAGCGTTCTCGCTCGAGACTTCGTTTTGTTTTACGCTGGACTAGCGCCCTACTCTCTTCAGCATTGGCACCGCTCCCAACAACAACAGCAGCCCTGCTCGAGACTTCCTCCCTTTCTGTTCATGGCCAGGTCCTTGCCTCACCGCCAACAGCCCCCATCCCCACCAAGGCAATCCTGTCGTTCGATACTTCCTTGTGCTTTACCCTTCGCTGGGGTTCCACTGGCGGTCTCGCATCGGCGCAGCAATTCGCGGGCATATGTTTTCGAGGCGGGATATGTTGAAATTCCTCGGAGGAGGTGTTTGCAAGACCTCATTGGGCGGGAGATCTGGGTATGGGAATAACGGACCCCGCTATAGAACAAGAGACCCCATTACGTGGATGGTTATCATGATGGTCGCATGCTTCGTGGGAAAACATCGCACATTAGGGTAAGCTGATTGTCGTTGTTGTTGTTGCTGTTGGTGTTGTTGTTGTTGTTGTTGTTGTTGTTGTTGTTGAACATTATTAATTCTAAAGAATAATTATTGTTGGGGCCCCTGGTGCACGGCCCCCCTGCGCCGCCTAGGC